CAAATAAACCTTTCTCGAATGCATCCTTTTCTCCACTACTATTCACTGTGTACCTTAAAAACTTGTTGTCCATAATCAACAGCTGTATTTTTTCACAAATCGTGCAATTAAACATCTTTTGAACACATCCTTTCTTCCACCTCATTTATATCCCCACCACAAAATTATGCTCACAAAAAAATATCATGTTTGGCTTAAAGTACTCGTGCAAAAGTTACTCTTTCTCCCTGACTATAAGTAGTGAAGGAAAGTCTAATAATGATGACAACTAACTTCAGTCCTAAAAGAATATTAAGCCCCTGTCTAGTGGGGATTAAAATCAGATTTTTAGTAGATTTTTATAAAAGTTGATGAAAAAATATGCGATTAAAAAGTCGTGGATCCCATGAAATATGCGGTTAAAATTAATTGTTGACTTTGACCTAGATTAAAATCTAGATTCTAATCCCTACCAAAACATGGGCTAAGTATAAACAAGAAGTGATCTTTTGTGCACAAAGCATACTCTTTTGTGCACAAAGCATACGAAGACCTGAGCAGAATTTAGTTACATGGAGTTGCTTCAATATCATACTATAACTGTACGAGTTATGATTTCATGCTATTTTCCACAATGCAAACAATGAACAGTTCTGCAATTCTCTGTGGAGACAGGTATCTTCAAAAAACCAAAAGGATTCAACATTATTAACATGTGTAGAAAAGAACCTGGAGGTGATGTATCATGATCACAAACATAAACCCGCATCCCGCCCTGGATAAATTTTTCAACATGTAAAACATACAAATATATAAAAAACTGAAGAGTACATAAGAGCATTGCCAAAAGAGATACTATAATCAGTTCACACCCACGCCGATATAGCAGCAAGAGATGTATGATGAGAAGATAATGGATAATAACTAGACTCCAACATTCAATAAAAATAAAACTTACTTTGTCAAAAATAAATCAACCTACATTGTCATGACTTGGCTTGGTGATAATTATAAAGAATAAAGTTGCTGACTTAGATTCCCAGAGAGTTATAAAATCAATTAAATACTGTTTTTGGATTGGAATCAGGTTATCTGATTACTCTAACAATCCATATTTCAGTTAGCAGATAGCTTTCTCATATCACGAAGTACTTTGATTCTTAACAACACAATTTCTTCATTATGTCTGAATCCATATAGGCATATACATGCAAACGCGTGCTCTTCTAGGATTTCATGCTTCCCTCACACCTTCTAATATCGCTGAATCACTACCGGCTAAAACTTAAATACTCAAAACCTATCAGTATGCCGACGAACAACAAAACGCTTTACAATTACAAACCTTTCATAGAAGACCACAACACATTAACCAGCGTCACTCTACAGCATGATCTAATTATTTCAGCCTGAATCTCTAACAAAAGAAATTCTAACTAAACCAACCGAACACTGAACTAAAATGATGCTAACTCACTATCGCAGAACAAATTAAATTTCAGAACTTCTATTGATTTAGTAAAACTCGATTCTCAATTATATAAGAAGAGAATCAGCATTGTCTTTCTCAGAACACAAAAGAAAAACCCTTAAAAGTCCTCTCAAATCACCAGGCTTAACCAAAATTAACAACCATAAAAGATCAGCATCACACGTATAAACGAAATTATAATACCCGTATGGACTTTTAAAAAAAATAAAAAATTAGGGTCTAGACGGAACAACAATTACCGGGTTCGAAGAAACGATGGTGGAGGACAAGAGGCCGCGAGAGGGGAGGCCGACGAGGAATTCGGAAGCTCCGCCACTGCCATCCTTCGAATTGGAAGGCTGCGACCCCGAGCAGCTACAGTCCATTGCTCCTATCAATCACTCTGTACAAAATTAAGAAAAAAATATTTGCAGAGAAGGAGTGGAGTCAATGCTGAGGAGGAAGACTATTGAATGATGGAGCTAGCCACAAAATCAGGCGGGCTATATATGCGGGATTCTCAATTTTGCAATCAAGGGAATTCCTTAACAGCGATAGTATAGAACCCGGGGTTAGGGTATATACTGTATCCTAATGGCTGGCAGTGCCCACGAGTCGTGGACGCTAGTCGAGCTCGATTTTTTTTTCCACGAGAAGGTTTGTCTCGAGCTTGTGGGTTGGTTCGTTTTTCGGTTTATCTTGTTAATTTCTTACAATAGAAAAAAAAATAAAATAAAATGTGGGTTGGCACTGGTCCGGCTCATGTTTGCAAGCCCAAAGGTCGAATCATGTCTTGTTTGTAGACATAGGTCAAGCTCGAACTCAAACTCGGCGATTTGCCGCCCTTATGCATACTTGTCCCATGTTTTGCTCAGGTTTATCGACGGTTTAAAAGTACTTTATTATTATTATTTTACACATTTCAAGCGATCTACAAATATTATCCTTATTCATTGTCAGTTTCTATTTATATATAACTTAAACCGTTTATAAATAATATCATACATTTGTTTTACCTTATTCACCATTTAGTATCTCATATTGAACTATCCTTACGAAGGCAATTGGGAAGGCCATTGCATTGAAATCCGAAGATTCTTCGATTTTGCTCTAATTTTTTAACCCTAATTTGATGTTTGGAATTTGAAGGAAAATAGTTAGGATTAAATTCGAATTGATGAAACTTGTTTATAAGTATTATAGAACGTAAATCTCATGTCACATTTTTGGCATCTTAATACCTTGTTGTAGGTTATGTTAGCGGCATACAACCCAACATCACACATATCATCGAATCCGTCAAATTTGTTTGATGGATACATGAATAAATTATAATTTTTTTTCTTATCAGATTGTTTTCTAGTTTTGACTTTTTTTTCTTTCTATTGTTCAGCGTATATATTTTCTGTTAAATTATTAATCTTCCGTGCTTGCTTATTACGAAATTCAGTTTCCACTGAACTCTCTGAACCTTTACCTTTTGTTGACGCTAAAAAATGGATATATAGATTTCAAGTCAACTTAGAGAATAAATACTGATTCACTCATATATAATCAAAGAATTACAATATGTTATATGGTACTCCGTTTCCTATTTTTAGGTGATATTTGAAATATGAGAAATATGGTAATATCATCTCTTTTTTTTCCCTCTTTGATCCTTTATCCATTTCTATAGGAAGAAATATACAGGTACCATGTACATCACGCCTCGTTAACTGTAATCCCGAGCTGAAGAAGTACACTCGTTGGTGTGATCAAATTGGCTACCGAGCACAGCGTGTCAAGTGATAATAAGTTTGAACATGCAGGTGGTCCCCGATAATTAATGAATTACTTAAGAGAAGAAGTTAAAGTTAGTGATTGGTAGATTAAGTGGGCGCCGATGTAAAACCTTTCCAAGTGTATTTCATTGATTGGTAGTTTATATATTTTGTCAGTGATCTTCAATCATCATGTTTCCTTTAACCTCGATAAACTACACAAACTTCTTGCACAAGCTAAGTTCTAACCGAGCTGACCTTACATTTCCGAACTCCCGTTATTATACACTTGTCACATACAATAACTCGGATTAGTCAACCTAGGAGGTCGGATGTTAACAGTTACCCCCCAAGTTAGTGCTAACCTAGATAATGGACTGGCCTTAGATTGCACATTTCCCAGTCTTTGTAATCATTATAGCAATAAATGATTTTGAGCATGTGTCACGCCGTAACTTGTGCATGAGCTCTAGAACACGTGGGGCTCCTTCTTGTAGAAGCTTTTGAACAAATTGGTGCCACTTCATTTAATGAGATCCTACCGTTAATTCATTTTTTTATTTTTTATTTGGACGGTCTAGGTTCCGCCTCTTGGTATTTCCTTCCTTTAAATTCTGGAGGTCGAACTTTATGTCTCATTTTTTATTGAAAATTACAACATTGAAATGAACAAACTCAATTTCCGTCAATTTCAATCTGACCTTATCTAAGCAAATTGCAGGGCTAACAGTGTCTTCACAGAGATTCACAAGAATTGAAAATAATAATTTTAAACAACAATCTTTAAAAGAAATAGAGACTTTCAATAGATATGCTGTACCTTATCCACATTAGGTAGATATTCAAAGGATTTTATAAACGATTTTACGCATTCACTACAAATAAACCCGAAATAGCCTATATCCACTACTTTTTCCAACTCGTACTTGGTATAGAAATTATTTGGAAAACCAAATTTCTTTGTTACAAGTGACCCAATGTGCTATGTTAGAGTTGACAATGAAAATTTCGCTTTTCCAAGTGATGTTTTGCTTCAAACGGAGAGTTTAAGAAAATAAGGGAAGACAAAAAATTATATATTTCAAAAATGTAAACCGAAGGTAAAATTTTAATGTCAAATCCTTAAATATTAAGATCCCTACTATTATTTACTATTTTAATCCCCTGTAAAAATGGGAACGGAAAACCATTGATTAAAACTTGCTAAAAATGGAAACTACATAGCCTTGCAACATCTTCTTTTGATGCAAACAGATTCCATGATTTTAGTTTCTATCTAATAGCTAGTTCATATATAGAAAAAGCAGCAGAAATATTTTGCTCCAATTAGAAGGTCAACTCATCCATAAAGTATGAAAGAACGCTAATGCAATGCAAGTAAAACTATAGTATTGAAGTATATAAAAGATATTTTGTTGTTGATATGTTGTAAAGCAATTAGAAATAACTTAATATAAGGTGGTGTTAAATAATAAAATTATTTAGAATGAAATTATACCTTTGAAAAGCCCTGCAATGCAAAGTAGACATGTAGCCAAAAGAAGGAAACAGTCAGCAGAATGAAATGTTCTAAAATCCAAAAATTAAGAAATTCATAAACGGTGATGAGAAAATCAACGAAGCAGGATCGGATATTAAGATCCCGGAATAAACTTCCAACAAATATAACTATAATAAGTCGGTAATTATTGAAAAAACTATAGTATTGAAGCATATAAAAGATATTTTGTTGTTGATATGTTGTAAAGCAATTAGAAAAAACTTAATATAAGGTAGTGTTAAATAATAAAATTATTTAGAATGAAATTATGCCTTTGAAAAGCCCTGCAATGCAAAGTAGACATGTAGCCAAAAGAAGAAAACAGTCAGCAGAATGAAATGTTCTAAAATCCAAAAATTAAGAAATTCATCAACGGTGATGAAAAAATCAACGAAGCAGGATCGGATATTAAAATCGCGGAATAAACTTCCAACAAATGTAACTATAATAAGTCTGTAATTATTGAAATGATGAAGAACACTTAATTATTTGTATTTGTCCAGAATGATGGACAACCTCGAGTCAGCACTTTCTGATTTTCCCCTTAGAGTCACTATATTATTTATACGGAGCTATAAACATATTGAGACCTCAACATACTATCAATAAATCATTATTTTTCCATTTTTGCTTTTCTTTCCTTTATTTTATCAAGGATTCATAGACAACTTCTCTTAAAAACTCTCCAACCAAAATGGCCCAATCCCTAACATATTGGGCAAGCTACAAAAACTTTGTTTCCTGTACAGGTTATTCTCTTTGAACTTTATGTTATATAATATTATTTATTTTTGAATATTTTTCTTGAGCTTTCATTCTTGCTTGTTGGATTAAAATTTTGCCCTTCAAAAATAGTAGATAAATGGGCCTAAGTGTTTTTTGGGGTACCAAACACAGGGTGACATTATTTTCGTCTTTTTTCATATTTTTCTTTTCATTCTCAAGCTCTTCATTTTTCTGATTATCTAGTAGGCTTCCAATTTTCGTTTTTCTGGGCTCCTTACCTGTTATCTAGTTATCTTCACAGATTTCCACAAAAAATCAAGTATTTGTAAGGTTATTGAAAATTTAAATCCATAAAAGTTTCATTTCCGTACAATATTGATTAATATTCTGCAATCTCATTCTCCACTAATGGATTATTTTACTTCTCTATGCAGCCTTCAATCTAGATTGCTGACTTTTGAAAAGAACATAACAATCCTTACAACACTATTTTTCTTCACAAAACTTACATATCTAAGCAATACATCTATGCATAAACATAAACTTGCACCGATTCACAAATGCAAAATTTTTGTTTCGCATCACAATGGAAAGAAATACGGAAATAAAAACCAAAGTTCTTAATTAACGATTCCCACTAAATCGTCATCATACAGATAACAATTATAATAAATAAAAGAGAGAGAGAGAGAGAGAGAGAGAGAGAGAGTTATATTACCAAGAGATATAGATAAACGTATGTTTGTATAGAAAGGAGAAGACAAATCGAGAGAAAGCAAAAAATAATGTTTGCTTTCTGCTGTAGAGAGAGAGAGAGACAAAGAGTGTCCGTGATAGATGAGGAAATACAAATACAAATGGAAATAATATTCAAATTTATGTGAAATGAAATGTAAATGTAAATGAAAATGACACTAAATAATTCATTTCATATACATATATATGACATCAGCATGAGATAATGATGATATCTTATGAATAGTAATCGACTCTCATCTTTTATATATTGTAGTGATGTGTGATACTTTAAGCGTCCATAACGGTTACTATTGCTATACTTAAGTCCCTATTTTTTTTAATGTATTCTTGTCTTCAATCTTATACTAATTAGCTCACCTTGTCCCTAATGTTGGTTTTGTCCAAAAAAATTATTCAAAATAAGTAAAAATAATTATTTATCCATTTTTAAATAAGAAGAAAAATATAAATTAAATTTGCAATTAAAAATTTGTACCTCATTTTAAAGCACATTAATAGATTTTTTGAATAAAGTTATCAATAAAGTCAAGTTGAACTAATCGGTAGAAGACTGGAATAACAACGTGATGTAAAAAAGGTTAAGGACTCAAGCATGATAATAAATAAAGGTTAAGGACCATCAATACAATTTAAATGTGATTAATTAATAAGAAAAAAAGTTTGAATATTAATCTATAACTATTTGGATTTCATTTATTTTTTTCCAAACATTAACATTTTCAATATTATTATGATCAACGAGTACTTAAATTTTAAATGTTAGAACTTGACAGAACACGAATTTTTGACCAGAAAATGTCATCGTAAATAATAAAACCAGTTTAATAATCTACAGGCAATAGCCATCATCTTATTATTATTATTATTATTATTTTTTCTCTTTTTTTATTTATTTATGTTTTTTTTAATGGCAAATGGCTATGCTACAAAATCGGATAAGTGTGAGCTAATAAGTAGAAATCTCATGGATAAGAACCAAAGTAGGACCCGCTTAAACTGGATTACCTTGACAAGGCAACTCTGTCGAAAGATGGACCCACCTCTCCAATGAAATCCATACACGTCACATATGATCAGATTCAACGGCCAAGATCACTTACGTGTCCCCTTAACCTACACATCATAGCACCATAGCACGACACCTCACATATTATTTCGTTATAGTTTACAATCATCACAGCGTCAACTTTTCAAGAAAGCAACGTTTACAAGTATCTTAAAATCTTGTCATCAAGTGGTGTTAAGCTTCACTTTTGATTGATCAAGAGTGTATTTTTCAGTGTTTGTGCGTGAAATTCGAGTTTGTAGAGAGATGGTGGTGAACGCCGATCAGGACGGAGAAACGCCGCGGAGCCCAGAAGCGAAACTGGGTATGCAGGTGGAGGATTTGTGGGATATACAGGAGCCCCAGTTGAGTCCTACTGAGAAGCTTAATGCTTGCTTTGAGAGTATTCCTGTTTCTGCCTTCCCTCCTGCTCCTTCTAACCAAGGTAATTTCACTGGTTTCTGTAGGTAAATTTGATAATTATTTGAAGGAATTTATTATTCGATGCTTTTTTTGATTGAACTCACATGTGGATTTTGATTGGATTGATTCTGTATGTGTGTTTAATTTGAGTTGGTGCGTGATCAAAGGTGAATTGAGTAAACAAGAAAGTGGAAAACTGTGCTGGTGTGAATTATACAGGAATAGAATTGTAACTGTGGGCGGCTCCTGCTCTCATTTTATAATTTTTTTCCAGAAACTAAATTATAGTAGTTAAAGAAAAAAGAAGAAGCCTTGTTCTTCTGGATGTCACACCACGGACCCTGCCTACACCGGCCGGCAAGTTTTCAACTCCGGGAGGGGTTCCACATTTAATCCAAATATGCTTTGCCAAGATATATAATTGTATGAGAAATAGCATTCTTTTGCTTCCCGGATTGCATTGACGACAATTTTATTTTATCCGCTAAAAGTTTGGTCAGGTTATGCAATAAAGAAGGTTTTTTTGTCTTTGTGTGACAACTAAACGTAGATCTATTTGGCGTGTTTCTAGCATGTAGCAGATATCGTAGAGATATGCTGTGTAGATACTGGTAAGGTCGGGACTGTGGTAGTCTGTCTCTCTTATTGGATTGTGCTTTGAACCACATATGTTTGGATGTAGCTGCATTGATGTCAGTTCTAATGCATTCGGCAGCTTTGTACAATGTTGTTAAGTTTTAGGTTATCTACACTTTCTCCCCATGGTTCCACAAGTGCTAACGTTCAACTTGGTATGATAATAAAATAAACCATCTATAAATTTAAGAGATGAGCAAGTAAGCCCCCAACAGTTTTGCACGAAGAGTCGAAGAGTTCATTCTAAAGATTTAAGAGAGTGAATGCCTTTTAACTGTTTATATGTTTAGCTCACCTCCTCAATGTAGGCTGGATGTCTCAAAGGTCTAGCAAATGGGATATTGGGTAATGGCAGGACTGATCTCACAATCATTGGATGCTTCGATACTGTATTACATAAGTCTATCATCTAAAAGTTTAAACTATTGGAAAGGATAAGAGAATTGTTTGCCTTCAACCATTTCATATCAGTTTTTAAGTTTCTAACTTCTCTGCAGTATTATTGTTTAATTCAGCCTCATTTAACTTCTGTACAGTTACTGAGATAAGCTCGGACTCGAGTTTGGCTGAAGCCGTGAAGTTACTGGCCCGGAATAAAATCCTCAGTGCACCTGTGGTGGATTGCAAAGCGCCTGAAGATGCAAGTTGGATTGACAGATACATAGGCATTGCAGAGTTTGCTGGCATTGTTGTGTGGATATTGCATCAGGTTTGTAGACCTACACAAAACCTGAATACGGAATATATTTGGATAACTTTGTTAAATCTCACTACAGTTGTCTCATCACTGATGTGAAGCAAATCGTAATGAAATGGAAAGTGAAATTACATTATGATGGTTATTCTACCGCAGAATTAAGGCAATAACTTGGACAGGCTGAAGGATTTCATGTGTTCTCTCTTTTTTCTTTAAAATTTTTGAATAATGTATTATCATAAATCTGTAGCCATGGGATCTTGTTTAAAAAAATTACAAGGTGCTAGAACAAAGATAAAAATGTATCGACTCGATTATCTGATAACAAAACTTAGCAGATTCTAATATCTTATCATTTCAGAATGTCGTGTACTTTTTCTGGGTCTTATTCACACTCTTTCCTTTAAATAGGAAGCTAAAAAGCAGATACATATTGACTTTTTTGACAGTCAGAAAAGATGGAAGGTGGCGATTTCTTCGATTTGGCAATGAATAGCTCGGGAAATGATTTTGGTCCTGCTGTTGAAGCGGCAGCTAATGGAATGTCTTCACCGAGGTTTAAAAGTATACACCCTGACTCTCCTACAACAACTTGTGGAAAATTTTTCGAGTTGCTTACTTCTTCCAACCTCTATAAGGACACAAAGGTTACTCGCTTTACTTACTGCGCTAACTTCATAATTTCACCATTTCTCATTATCTTGAAATGACGTTTCTCATTTCAGTCTTCTGGTCTTTCTTCTGAACTGCATTATTGATGAATAAACAGGTTGGGGATATCTCGGGATCTTTTCGCTGGGCTCCATTTCTTGCACTACAGAAATCTAACTCTTTCTTGACGATGCTTCTACTGCTATCAAAATACAGAATGAAGAGTATTCCTGTGGTTGATTTAGGGGAAGCAAAGATTGACAACATCATCACGCAATCCGCTGTTATTCACATGCTGGAAGAATGTTCTGGACTTCATTGGTTTGAAAGCTGGGGATCCAAAAAACTATTTGAACTTGGTCTGCCACTAATGAAATCTAGTCAGATTATTAAGGTAATGAATATATTATAAACATGTGTGGATGAGACCATAGCTTAACACGAAGCTTGGATGGATGCAATATCTTGGATGTAATATGTCGTGTCTCCATTTTATGTTAATAGTTAACTGCAAAATGATAATTGCAATTTTTATTAAGGACCTCTGCTTTTTGCATCAAATCAGAATTCTTCTGCTGTCATTTAATCAGTTTGAATTAAACTCATGTCGATGGTAGGTAGTTTGGTAGCTCCGTTTTAGTATTTCTTTCCACTTGATTCTCTCTCTCTCTCTCTCTCTCTCGTGCTGTTTTAGGGGTTGGCTGGGAAGAAATTGCATCGATTTGGCTGGCATTTTAAGACATAAGTTGAAGTATGACCCAAATTCTATTAGGTATTAGTGTTTTGGTTGAAGAGGATTTGAAGAGGTGAAATTATGGAACAGGGAGAAAAAGGCGTATTTCCGCTTGCTGTCCACCCGTCTCTTGCTCGAGCGCTCAAAACAGGAGCGCTGACGCTCGCTTGGCTCTTGCATGTCACTCGAGTGGCGATTCATTCCGGCCTAGGCCCGTTTTGTGTTTTAACACGTTTTCAGCATTTCAATCCTTCTAAAACATAATATAACATTTATAAAGCCTTGAGAGAGATTTGATTGAGAGTATTCAGATCATGTGTATACAACATTCATTATTGATTACAATGAAATACTCTCTTTCTACCTGTGATTTTTTCCCCGTCTTGGATTTTCATGTAAATTCTTGGTGTTCTCATGCTTGTTTGTTTGTTTTATTTCGTCTTGCCAAATTATCTTGTTGATTTCGTAGCACTTGTTTTCTCACATGATGATTTTATGGGATAGTATTAATTCAGTTTCCAAAACCTTACTTGTATGTTCGTACGCTTATTAGACAAGATTTGATATTATAACAAACAAGATTTTAGCTTCTTTTCTCTGAGTAAACCAATTGTAACAAGAGAATAATAGAATTTGAAACATATATTTGTGAATGTGTATGAGGCCTTCGTTTGAATTGTACTTATTCACCTATATCATTTGGTCTTCGAACATGAATATCTTCTTTTTCTGTTACTGTAATATTAAGAACCTGTCTGGTGCAGATTTTGGAAATGAGAAATTGATTTTTTGCATGTTACCTTTTGGCACATGTAACACAGATTCTGCAGCTTTCTTTGAAATAGTTACCGTTGGACCACGTAACGGTCAAAAAATGACTTTTAATCCAATTTTTAAGCAATCCCAGACAAACCCTAAGCTGCTTTAATAGGAATACTATATTTTTTTATCATCATAGATCTGTACATAGTAATCATGTGTCTTCATTGGACAAACTTTTATTGCACTTAGTTCCTGTACTTCTGAAGTTCGAACGTATATCAGCAAATATATACATCTTAAATACACACATCAGTTTTTTTACATTTGATTTTCAGAAACTTATTTTATATGTTTCTTTATCTTCTTAAGGTGTGCGAGGATGAGCCTGTGCTGCAAGCATTTAAACTAATGAGACAAAAGGGAGTTGGAGGGCTACCGGTGGTTCGAAGTGGTGGAAATAAGGCAATTGGTAATATAAGCATCAGTGATATCCAGTTCCTTCTCATTGCTCCTGGAATCTACAACGAATACAGGTTCGTGATTTTGGTTATTTATTTCCTATTTGTCAGCAATTAGTCTGATCATACTTATAGGGTATTGTTCTTAGTAATAGAGAGTTTTGATGCATTAATTTGGCATGTTAATATAGGTCTATTACAGCCAAGAACTTCTTGACAGCAATTAGACGCTATCTAGAGGAGCATCAGAAAGAGTCGCCATTGTTGAGCGGCATGGTTACATGCCGGAGAGATGAGACGCTGAAAGAAGTTATCGTTAAACTCGATTCGATGAAGATCCATCGGATTTATGTAGTGGATGAGACTGGTGAGCTAGAGGGGGTTATTACACTAAGAGACATAATCTCAAAGCTGGTACATGAGCCCCGTGGATACTTCGGCGACTTTTTCGATGGTGTTCTGCCCCTGCCTGCCAATAGTAGGGTCTAACTTGAGCAGGTTTTTTTTTCCCCTCCTAATTGAATTTTGAATTAACAAGATTGTTATTTTGGTCATTAATTTGGCTACTTTCTGGTCTTTTTTTGTGTTTCTTGTACTCAAACATCTCTATTAGGCACTCTCTTGGCTGTCGAATAATGAACAGATTTCTTGACTGTGTTTTCTGTGTTGTAAAATAAAAATTGTTGGTATTTAACTGTTTGATCCTTTAGATGAAATTATTCAACCTAGTATCGAAGTACGCACAGGTCTTGGCTTGACTCCACTCGGTGAGTTTTGAGTCTCACCTCTAGCTATTCAAATGAAATTCTGCACGTGCTATACTTTAATGTGAAGAAATGAATTCTCCCTACACGAGGAGTCAGTTGAAGATAATGTTCAAGTGATAAATATCGCATTTGGCTCAAGTAGTCGAGTGATCACTTTCACTATAACGCTTGCTTACCTAATGGCGGTATTCGCTGCCTTCAATTTCTAGTTCTTGGCTGAAGCAATTATCCTTTCTTTCATCTATGGGACGGTTCCCTTCCGGCTCTGACTTTGATCGCTTGCCCGCACAGTGCCTTTTTTGAGAGAAGGGGTCAAGGAGCCAACAGAGAGCCAATTCACAGCTTCTTCGTATTGGACATGGGCCTCAGCTGTTTGAAGGTAAAGAAATTGGCCAGTGGACACATTCAACCAACCAGAGAGGGTAAACTAAGCATTATTTCGTTTCATATTTGGTTTGTTTGGAACCAGAATTGTAACTTGGACAGACTACATGATGGAGAATCACTCCCCGCCTAAGCATCATCACGGGAAAGGGGATGTGTTTGCGCGTGTTGGTCAACACATTGCACTCTCGAGCGGGTCAATAAGGGCCTAAAAATTAGTTGATTTGGTTGTCTTATTTTCAAAGCATTATTTCACCTTGATTCATGGCGGTGTTACGAGTATTATAGTTTTTGCTTTTATCTGATGTAAGTTGCAAAATTGGAAATTAAAATTTGGCGAGCAACAAATTTTTTTCTATCTCAAGTTGTTTTTCGGCTAGGCTTTTATTTTAAACTATAAAGAATAAAAATGCTACATTTTTTAAACCAAATTAATACATTTCTAAATGCATCGACACAATTATTACTGTACAGTTGAGAAGAAGAAATAAAAAAGTTACGCCCCCGAAAAATCATCTAAAATATTATCATGGTGCCTTGTATTTAAATAGAGCGCGACGAGTCAACACAACACAGAACCTCGGTAAACAGTTCAAAAATTATTTACACCTCTAATTCATTCCGAATTGCAATGCATAGAACACAGAATTGACACCATTTACACCTCTGGTTCTTGGTAAATACTTGTACCAAGCATGCTTCTGTATTTTACTAGAGGCAACAAGGCCTCGACTTCTTGGATAGCATGTCATATCCAAGAGGCCTTTCCATTCTCCCCTATTCACCGCCTCATCCCAGCTTTACTTTTCCGAGCTCAATTTTCCATTCGAGCTCTACCAAGTAAGGCAAAAATAGAGGCGGAGAAAGGATATCACAGGCTGGTTTAACAGTTCTTGTGGAGTAAAGCCGAGAGAGAAGGGGATTAACAGAAATCTGGGTGGGGGGATCTTAGTTTCTTCCCTATCGCTGCTGGAAAAAGATAAAACAAATTCCAAGTAAAAGTACAGAGCCTATTCACCCTTCTTTCATCCCATTGACACCACAGTCGGGAGCTTCGCCCTCGACTTGAGATGTCAAGACTAAGCTGATCATTTTGCACAGAATCTTGTTCAAATTTTCACCATTTATCAAGAAGAAAAAGCCAAGAAGCCACTTGATTAAATATAGAAACTTAAAAGGGAAACGATAACTAATTTCAAGCTTTAAAAGTCAAGGAAAAAGATTTGTATTTCCCATGGGTAGTAAGATTCCAAAATGTAATTCCAAGAAACTACCATTATCATGAGCATTTCAGAAGACCAAATTTGTAAGCGACAATCGTTACTAAAGTCAAACTTCAAAACATGAAGTATATTAATATTTCATAGATTACACTGGATATTTGTAAATCAGAATTTTGTAATGAAAGAGTCTACAAACAAAAGCAGTTTACCTTATCACTTACTTGATGTTAATCCTCATCAAAATCAAGTCAACAATAACCCAAAAAATTGAAAAAAAATAATAGTAAATAAATAAATAAATAAGGCAGAAATATTAGATTATACATTTGCAGAGAGAAAGAAACGTCAATCTCCACAAAAAAAAAAACTCCAGCTATACACACACAACACCTGTCGGTACAAATCTCAGATTCACAATTCATTGCACAGAATAACAGAGGAGTTTTGACACATTTGACATAGGAGGTAGACCTTACAATGAAAGAAAACAAAATTTAAAGTAGCATCATTCTGCTAATCAAACTAAACTTACTAATGGACTTCTTCATTTGTTTAAAAAGGAAACTCCATGAAGCCTCCATAGTTCTACAGGATATGACGTGAGTTCCGACAAGTTTGCAAAATAGAAGAAACTACCCAGTACCCACATAAGTGAATATAAAAGAGGAACCTGAAAACAACAGCAGCACAATTACGTGGATTAGTGATTACTTATTAGGAAGAGAGTTCAAAAGTAATATAGTTCACTTGGAAGGTAGCGTGTTAAAGTTTCAGAAGGTTCAGATGGTTGATTAGGGATTAGGATGAGAGTTCAAAAGATGAACAAGCTTTAAATAGCAGCAGTCATATAAACGAGGTAAAGAGAAGGGTAGGCACCCAAAACCCGTGCATGGTTCATATGGAAGAAACAGGTAGACAGCCTGGCTTCATGCTATATGCACTAGCAATCGGATCAGATCAGATCATCTAGAGAAGAAACAGCATGGCCATTCAAGGAATTGATAGTTCAATCAACAGCTTTATAGTATCAATGTCAGATAGTTATTTTACTTTTGCAATAAAATGATACAATGCCCATAATTTATCTAAATTCAATGAATTTTGAGAAAATGAACACCTTTATATGCATAAATTAATTTTTTGTCATAATTTATGGGAAAGATTAAAATTTATTTAGAAATGATTGCATCTACCTGGTTGCAAATTGAGGATTTCCTCCATTTGCATCGCTGTGCTGGTTTGACCAGGCAAAATTGTTTAGCTCAGACTTGAAAATATCTGCCATGAAAAGCCAAGACATAAAGAGGGTATGCAAGTTGATTTGTGTTTGTCTAAGCATTCAAAATTAATAAATAGACAAGTCAGTCTAATGAAGTTAGCATTAGAATCCATTCTATAAAAGCCAACATTGTTTACAAACAGTTCCAAAAAGATTGGATACACAATTTGAAAACTTAAGAAGAAAATTAGTGACAAAGAAGTTTAGAGTGATGGAGAATGGTAATTCCATGGTCATGCTCACCAAGATAGAAAGGAGTGAAATATGGCATCTCAAATGAGGTTAATGCTCATGGTGTATAACCGCGTATGAGTGAGTGAAAGACATCAACAACAAACTACGCATTATTCATCATGAATTTTTAAACCTCTCGCGATTCCGGCAAGTGCAGATGATATAACTAGTAGATACATTCCTCCCCATGCGAATATATTTTCTTGTTTAGGGGAGTTATGCTCACTTCTTTTTTAGTACAGCTACCTATGGGGTTTGCTGCAACTCTTTTACCTACATAATGACGGAAGCTAAATTCTGTTGGTTAATTCGATCAGCTCATCGATAGTCTGCAAATATGATGGTCCTAATGATGATCATGCATGTTTTCTGCCTTCTGTTTGTAGCTCAAACATGAATAAAAAAAAGCATTGTTCCTCAAAAATGTGGGACATGCTACACGAATCCTTTTTCATTTCAGTTTACTGCTACATCCATGGGAAGATCCAATTCAACTAGATATATGCAATCACAAATACCATATAAATTTTGGTATGACTCTACTTCTTTCAACCTCTTCTGCTAAGATCAAATCACTCTTGTGGACCTAAGTTTTCTGCTTGCTTCATCGTAAATTGGTACAATGATGAGTACTTGAGGGTCAGCATCGGGTAACAACCCTAGTTGAGCTGGGATCAAAATCATGATTAAAACACTGTCTATACCATATCTGACATTAGGGATGAAGTTAAATATTAATAACAAAGAGAATGTCCCAACGGTATCTATCTTCCTCCAAATAAATGGTCAGTTCAATTTAAATCCACACAATCAAATGTTGATTTCACGCTTCTATATGTGCTTCATATGTAAATTTTTTAGCATTCTAGACACTTCGATGGCAGAATAGTGATAATCTACCCCAAAAGATGGCAGCCTTAAGATAAATTAGGCCCCATATTAATCAATTACCAGCCACACTCAAAACCAAGTAAAGGTTCCATGTTACAGCATATTATGTCACATAATCACAAACAGCAGTAAGCACAGAACCCATCCAGGAATACCTGCCTAACTAAGCTAATTACTCACTTGTTAAAATAATATCCTGATTGCTATGTTATGAATAAGTTATGGCATGTAGAAACTCTTGACTTGATAGGCAGCAAACCGAAAATGATATATAACTTGGTCTTCGCTCAATTTTGGTTAGCCACATAGCTACCAAGTTCCATAACCAAATACGTGAGATTACATAGAAACCCCAACTGGAACTATCTCTACAAAGAAGAAAAATCATCTAGAAGGCAAAACTCAGTTTGGAGAACGCTACACAGCATCTGCCACAGCTAGCTTCATATCCCCACTCCCTCCCATTTTATTTTTTACTTCCCCTTCAAGGTAAGAATCAATTGAAGTCCTAAATCCTGCATGGTACTATTGACCATAAATAGACTACAATAGCTTCCAGATAATATCAGATTGTTGCCAAGTATCTTCCAATTCTAAATATGATTCATGTTAATAAAAAATGAAAGAAATTTAGTTCAAGCACATAAAACAAGAGTACATGAACAAAATTATTAGAGTCCGATGAGAGGGGTAGACATCTTTCACAAAAGATTCTGTGACACACATCCAAACCAACAAGTACATGACCAAGCTGAATGTAGGGGGAGCAACTATTCGTTGACCAGGGCAGAAGCCAGAAAGCATACCGGTTTCCAATCTTGCATTCTATGTACTTTTTCGTCTCATATGGTGCAGAATAAGGGGTGTCCCTTCAAATAAATCCAACAAATAGTTCTCTAAATCTTCTGAAGTGTATTTTATGTATTTACCAGCATTTCTCCCACTTTCTAGATGACTTCCAAACCTACCCAGAAATGAGCGATAAGCTGGTAACACTTTTTCCGAAATGGATAACCGGAGCTCTTCACGAAGCTGAGGATCTGGGACCTTCCAAGCCGTCTGAATCCTATAGATATCTTCAAAACGTGCATTAAAATTCTTAAACCTATCCTTCAGAGCCACCTTTGATGCATTACTTGAACTCCCCCCAATTCCTTCATCCTTCAAGCAAGATAAGGCCTTGCTCCATGATGACCTAAGATATTGTGTAGCATACTGCCGAATCTGACCCCGTCGCTTTTTAACCCAGTTGTCTCCCAAAAGGTTTTGGAGCTCAGAGTCTTTCACTTTCTGTACGATATACAGTATATTATTCAATAAAAATATATACTGCATTGCTGTACCCTCATACATTCTCGATTTCTCTTCAAGATTTGATTCCAAAGACTTAATCAATGCCAACAGGCGCTGACCTATCAGGGACATGCTTTTCATCTCTGAATTGTCCGAGTTCCTGCTCTTCACCTGTCTTAACTCATCCTCCGCGTTCTCCAAAACTGCATTGAGAGTATCGCTATAATCCAATAGCAACTTAACATAATTCATAACATATCGAGTGAGTGGGTGAATTTCACCATTCTGCAATGTCTTCCTAGAAGACTCTGCCTGAACTGCATTCTCAAACTCCACAAAAGTCCCAATGGCAGCCTCACCCAAACTATCCAGTACACCTTTGGCCTCGCTACTTACCATGTCACCTACCTCTTCGTCCATAAATAGTGACTGCAAGTCTGGAAAAACCCCGGCCAATGCATCATACATATCGAGAATCCTAAACAGTTTCTCTGAGGACCTCCTCCCAATGGCGACAGCCTCTCCAAAATTCAACAACTGCATTACGCAGGCCTTTGCTGTCTCCAAAAAGCAAACTTCCTTGATCAAATCAGACCCACTAAATATCTGCTCGCAGAGGTCTTTTTCACTCGGCAAAAGACCCCGAGCAATTACTTTAACTGCTTGAATCCATTTCTTAATTTTATCATCCAGCAAACGCCACTCAACCCTCTGGACCTCCTCAATGCTCAATTTTTCTACCCCAAGAATCACCATACATGCATCAAGAACATCGCGGCGGACAGTACAATAGACCTGGCAGCATTCCTTTTCATATCCCGATCGGATCATGCGATCCGCGATCTGTCTCAAATCAATTGCAGCATCCTGGTGTATCAAATCGAGGGACACATCATCTCCCCCAAAACTCACACCCCGGCAACGGCGTTGGTGGCTGCACCGCGCACTACTGACATCACCCAGGCTTTCGTTATCATCAAAAAAATCAGAGGCCGCAATGGCTACGGTCGACGAAGAATGAGAAGAGCGGTGGACCCGCTCCGGGTCCAGAGGCACCGTGTTTCGGATGAGAATGTGCCGGAACTCATCCTCCAGACGCATCATTGCCACATGCAACGCGTTCTCTGCCCGGTCCATGACGTCACATCTGGGCCCAGCCGCTTGGAACCCATCCTGAAGTTCCCCATCTCGATAATTCAAATTCATTTCCTCAGTCGATTGAATTAAGTCATCAACAGCGGCAAGGTAATCATCGGTTAAAGACGACGTATCCGCCTCGTTCAAAACGATCTGCTCGGCAGCCTCGAAGCAGGGGTCCACGGCGGAAGCGGCAGACCTTTGGGCACCCGATGAAGAGTCATCCGACGATACAAAGGAGGATAGCGTGGAGAGACGGTTATCAAACGCCGAGAGGATAAGAAGCATGTCGTCGGTGTCGGAAGTGTTATGGAGGCTCTGTACGATGCGCTGGGCCGTGGCCAATACCTTATCTTGTCCTTCCGTCGTCTCAGCCATCGTTGAGGGTTTGTTTACGAGAAAAAAGTGTAGATACAGGAGATGCTGTACGTATAACTTAGGGTTTCGGAATTGGGAAAAAAGGATTGCAGATTCTTGAGATTCGGGGGGTCTTTAGGGGAGTTGAAAGTTCAAACTTCTGGTGTTGACGAGGTGACCATTCCAATTTCCTTTTCTAATTTCTCTCTTCCAAAGCGGTCTAGTGGGTTTGTGTCCGATGATTGGATTGACAAGAGGATCCAACGTTGTCTTGACGTTCGGTTTGGGTCCAAGTTTCGAAGCTTGACCGTTTGAAACTTGGATGTTATCCTTTGAAATAAGAATAATTGCAGCAAAAGTTTCAAATCTTTGAAATATTAGCAGATTTTACTCAAATTTTTGATTTGTAGCAGCCATTACACATAACCTTTCCAAATATTGCAGGTGAAGCCCATTTGGACAATTTCCGTTCATAATTCTATTAGTTGATAAAAAAATTAACTTTGACAACATTTTTAATATTTTAAAAATGAGCAAAATAGTAATTTTCAATTTATCACATTAAATAATTCAATAAAAAAAACACACACACACTTGTCCTCTTCATCTCAACCATCACCCACCCCTACCTCAGACCCAAAATTCACACCGACCACTCCGAGTAAAAACTGGCTGCAAAGAAAATGAAGGAATGGGAATCTGCCACTTTACTCTTAACAAAACTTAAAAGTCACGAAACAGAATGAATAGTTACAAACAAACATACCCACAGATCTAAGCACAAGACAATTTACTCTAAAACAAACTTTAGATCAGATCCTCAAATCCCAACAATTTTCAACAAAATAAATGAACACAAATATCAGGGATGAAACTCAAGGTGATGGGTTAGCCAGTTGAGCACTCTTTGACCACGAACAAGCCCTTCACTACCATCCATAGCAACACACCTCACAACATTCTCACCCAAATGATGTGTGACCTCAAGAACCAGCCTAATCTGATTATCCAAAACCTACAAGGCCGTCAAAATCGGTGGCAATCCCTCGTTGAACCTCACATCAACCACGGCACCAATCACCTAGCAAACCTTCCCGATCACGCCTTTTTCCAGTGAACTTGTCCGTAATTTTGCCACTGGACCCATCAGATTTTTTGGATGGTGGATTAAAGGGGCGGCAGCGACAGATGTTGAATACTGAACGACATGGTGTATAAAGTGGCCGATTGGGGAAGGGCGAGAAATAGTGGTGGTTCTGGCTTTGGGAGTGGAAAATGGGGATCTGGAGAATGGAGAACGGGATGAGGAGCGGAGAAACGAGACCAGGAGCCTCTGGGACGCCAAGTGTGTATGTGCGCGTGTGTTTTTTATTTATTTCATATTTTTTTATTGAATTATTTAATGTGATAAATGAAAAATTACTCTTTTACCCCTTTTTAAAATATTAAAAATGTGGTCAAAGTTAAGTTTATGTCAACTAACAGAATTATGGACGAAAATTGCCCAAATGGGTTTCACTTCCAACATTTGGAAAGGTTAGGGTGATGGCTGCAATAAATCAAGTGTTTGGATAAAGTCCGTTAATGTTTCAAAGATTTAGAGATTTTGCTGCAATTATCCCTTTAAAATATATCGAACCATTTAAGGGTAAATGGATCGGGTCAACTTGAGTCAATCTTTAGACATTGGAGCTCGAGTTGTGTCCACAAACAAGACGGGATTCAATCTTTTGGTTTGTGTAGACATGGGTTGAGCTCGAGCTATCCATGAGTCGACTCATTTTTAAGAAATTAATAAAATGAGCAAAAGCGAGCTTATGACAAGTTCAATCAAGTCGATTTATTAAAAAAAATGAGTTCATCTCAATGCGAACCCAAGCGACCATCGAACCAACTCGTAGGCTCGTCTCGTTTGCCATTCCTAAAACCACCTAAGATCATGTAAGTATATGCGAATGGAAAATCCTTATCGTACATCAACATTTACAGATTCTTTTGTAAATTGATGATGTAGCAAAAAGAAAATGAGAGATTTTTTTTATCTTTATTTGGTTGATGAAATTTTGACTCAATCAAATTTCGTAACTTCATCTATTGGTAAATAATATGTAAGTTATTGATATACATGTGACACAACTAATATGTGAATATGATTCCGTTTTATAGGACTTTAACAAAATTCATACCAATTCGTAAATATATACACAATAGTTGGTTCCATCCAGAATGATAGAACTGAACTAGACCAGAGTTAAGTAGCCTGAATTTTCTTGTTTTACTTTTGATGTGATAAAAGTGTTGATTATTGTGAATAAAATTAATTCAAGTGGATTTATATAAAGTAATTTAGTTATTAATTCGATAATGAGCTTATAAGAAAAATAATGTTAAAATCGAACAAAATCCAATAGAATCGAGCATTGCACAAATTTTGTATTTGTTGTGTGTTTATTAGTGTATAAATTGTAGATATTAAAAAAAATGTAATTTAAGATTTATTGAATTATTCAGAAGTCTTGGGAGCATATTATTGATTCGCTAGTGCTCCATCTAATAAGGTGATTATTTCAAAAGTTGAAAAATACCAAACAACATTGAAATAAAAGAGAAACAGCGATTTCAATAAAATCCAATTCCCCAACATAACTACGTGAAAAAATGAATAACAAAGTATTAAAGATGAAAATTATATAGTTAAATATTAGAAATTTAAGCAAAAGAAGAACACACAATATAAAATGCCAAAAACAATTTATGAGAAATAAACTTTAGTGCATTAGGAAAAATAATTAACACACATGTTAACATTCTCCATCACATTTTGTGCATCGGGCAGTTTAGTTTTTGCCACAATAGCCAACTCTGTATGCACCTTATCAAATGAATTTTCAACCAATATAAGTTGACTAGATTATAAACTATACACATCATTAAAATAAAAAGGAAAACCTTAGAAGAAAGTACATTTTTAGCTAATTCGTCGAATATTTCAGATTATTTTCCACATTTTTGGTATCTACAAAATCAGCCTTCTCGCACTCAAATATTAATTCAGCAGATTATGCAGCAATTTTAACTTGTAACTACAAACCACCTCTTTTCTAGATTGAGAAAGCTCATGTGATTGATGGTCATATGACTACAAAGTAAAAATATCAACTTATAACCAAATTAGAATTTAAACAACAAACATGTAAAACATAAATAAAATGAACAGTTTTGGAAGCTGTCATTAATAAAAAAGTTATTAACAACTTCTTTTGCTAATCTTAAAAAAACTTAGCTATAAATAAATTATTAACTTTTTGAACGATGGGCTAGAAAAAGAAAATATCTAAGTTTATTTAGCACAAAAAGCTTTGTAAACGTTAGCTAAACATGCTTTTAATAAAGCGATAAAGTCATTAGAAACTCACCATAGTTATCATGTGAATAAATTCTTTGAGACTTCAAGTGAGATGTTGAGGCTTCCACCCATAACACAAAGAGCGAATCAAACACAAAAAATATAAAACATTAAAGAAGTGAATTACAGGTGTTGCAAGAAATAGGAAAAGCTTTACAAACTCTAATAGTTTTAATTATATATATGCTCATAAAGCTATTCGAAAGGTGGACATTTGACATGTGAGCACGAAGGATAACTGATGTCATATGTTACTTTTCTATTTGTAGCTGTATTGTGGGAGTCTATTTAGCTATGTTCTTTAGTACGAATCAAATTTGTGTAACATATATTTCCAGCAATTTTTGCCAAATATGGTTATCCTATTTGGAGAAACTAATTCTATTTGATATCCAAAAATGAAGCATTCTTTATATATGAGCAAAAAAATTCACAGTTTAGCCCAAAAAAAAGTTTTACTTTTGATTAAATTAGTATCATAAATATAAAATTAAAGTAAGCAAAAAATGAAATATTATAGTAAACAGTAAATAATTTAAATACTCACCCATTATTTGCACAAGTAAATGTGTACTTGTACTTCCTTCTTTTATGCTTATTTGCAATATCATCTGGCGAGTACGCTCGTTTTTAAAGCCGAAATTTAGAATTGCATATTCCATTGAAGCAAGGGTGCAGCCATCCTTGATAAGCCGTCCAACAGTTTCAACTCCAGGTCAAGATTCTAATAGAATAAATAAATGTTGTTGACGTTGGAAATTGCACGAATAACAGTCAAGCCAACTTAAAGGGAAATGAAAACTTTTATTGATAATCACACGTGAATTACAAGTATAACTACAAATGTGTTACTCTTGTTTCTTCAAGAAGGTATTTGAAATATGATATGCAAAAGCCTTTTTTTAGTGGAAGCCCCTATCCTGCTCTTTTCCTTCCCTTTCACCCTTTTATAGGAAGAAATCTGCATGTATCCTGCTTCCCCTATCTTGTCAGCTACAGTGCCAAACTGGGAAGGTATATCACTGGCATGTCTGGATTGGTTAACGAGCTCGGCTTGTTAGGTCATTATGGATTTAACCTCACTGGTGGTCCCCAACAATTAATGAATTATTTAGGAGAGGAAGCTAAAACATATGATTGGTAGATTTAACGGACGCTGATGTAAGATCACCCATATGTCAATCACTGATTGACTGTTTGTACAATGTGGCAGAAACCAATAATCATTATGTCCGTAAAAGCCTCAATAAATATCTCAATCCGAGTTGACCTCGAATATCCCAAACTGACATTAGCACTAGCTCATCGAATATAGGAAACTGTAGTTATCGACTTCGGAGTTCGGATGCCAACAAATGTGAATTAAATATATAAAGTATCTAAAGAAATATATTACGATGAATAAAATTTACTAACCACATAAATCATATCTTGACGGGATTTAGTA